CTCATAAACTCGCAATACCATTTAGGAAAAAAACTACATTTTACTCAATTACTTTTCTTGAAAAGTCCGTTTTGAAAATGGTCTTGACAGTAAATCCGCCACGAAATAATAAAATAGCTATTACACCAACACAACTATATTTCGGTTTGTTTGCTAGCTTTGCCCTGATTGGATATCTGACTATCCAATCAGCGGGTGTGGGTACGGTGGCATTTCCTGGGCCTTCGCGCAGGCCCTGGTATCACCAACCTAAAATCTGATTGGTTGAAGCAACAATGTACTCAACATGTATTTTCTGTGGGGGGGGGCCTGCAGAACGGATTGTGAAGGCCTCCTGGCAGACATCTTTGACTTTGACCCTGCCTAGCGACAAAGGATGTCTGAAATGTGATTGGTTAAATGCTTTTATATGAAAATACATGTCTGGAAGCAGCGCAACCAGGGGGAAAGCTATGAAAGGAAGCTGACAGACTATTTCGAGATATTTAATACGTTTTCATGGACAAAATATAATTAACATCAGTCTGTGATTCAGATATTTTCTTAGGCCTTCAGAGAAGGCCTTGAAGGCCCTGACGGCCCACCACTGCTAGTTCTATAGGACCACATAGAGTCAACCATGCACTCACTCTTTGGGTCAAGTTAGGCAAACACACTCTAAAGTAACTGGACAGCTGGGATTCAAACCTACAACCTTTGTTCTGTGAGGTGGTGCTACAGACCACCACACCTCCAGGTGAGCCTTCACATTAACTCTCCAACTTTTTCACTATAAAGGTTAAGTGAAAGATTAAAACAAACTGTCTTTTTAAAGAACAGAATTGTCTTGTTGTAAATGTGAGTGATCATTCACACATCTCCATAAATCCATATGAACCATGGAAAAAATAATGATAGCAATAATTTAGCATTTAGCATTTTAAAATCATCAAAGCATCCAAATCTGAATGAATTTACTTCTTAAAAACCATTTATTATCAACATGCGTTTGTGTTTTTGTCTGAGGGCATGTTTGTTTTTCCTACATTGTGAGGACCACTAATTCATATAAACTTTTAATTGAGGACCTTTTGCAGAGAAAATTTTACAACAATAAAAAATTGTTGAAGTCCTAATTCCTGGTGAATTTATGATGAGTTTATTTGGCCTATTTTATCATAAATATTTATCTTTTCTATCCATTTATAAATATACTTTTAAAAATGTTATCCCACACAAATCTCAAAGTGTAAAGGGATTTAAAGGAATTGCATCAACATAGTGCAAGATTTGCATCATTTTAGAATTTTAACTTTTTGATTATAATCTAGGCTGACACTGTGGTGTGGTGGTTACCACCATCACCTCACAGAAAGCAGGTTCTAGGTTCAAATCCCCGGAGAACCAGGACAGGTTCCAGTCTCCCCGTTACCCTATAAGGGAATAAGCGGTTACGATAATGGATGGACGAATATAATTTAATATTCTCACTTCATGAACACAACGATGATATGATAATATAAAATGATATGTTTATAAATTTCAAAGTAGGAAACAAACAAACACCAACTTAAATGTAGATAATCAGAAAGAACAGAAAACACAATTATCATGCAGCTCCAGTCAGTCCGAAAGAGAAAAGGTACAAAGTATTGAATGTTCTCTCCACATTGACACTTAAACATCTTGTTTTTATAATCTTCTATTTAAAAAAAAGTTTTGATCAACTTGTCAAAGTTTACACAGATTATCCCATTTACTCCACTGCCTACAAGAAAAATCCAGAAAAAAAACAAAGATACATAAATTCTTTTACATGTTATTATGATTTTCATTTGAATTACATGCACCGAACAGAACAAAAATAAGAATAAGGAATGCTAATTAATCCAAGTGTTTCAGACCATCTGCTTGAATCTCAGGAATTTGATTTGGTGTCTGAACTCTGCTGGTTTAAATCATGTTTAGGTTGGAACATGAAGGAGAAACTCAGAGGATCATCAGCTGGTGGTGCAGTTTTTCACCACCCATTTCTCTTTTAATTTCTTCAGTTCTTCTTCCTGTTTCTTTTTCAACTGTTTCAAATCTTGCAGTTGTTTTTCTTTACTTTTGTGGTTTTCCTTTATTTTCTCTTTCTCTTTTCTTTCCTCCTGTAGTTGTTTTTCTTTTGCTGCCATGTTGTCTTTGAGACCCTTTTCTTTCAGAGATGTGAGGTCCTGTAATAGTTTATACTCATTTTTGTGTATCTCTTCTGCAGTTTCTATTTCTTTTTCATGTTTCTTTGTCAGATCCTTCAGTTCCTCGTCATGTTTTTCCATCAGAGATTTAAGGTCCTTTTCATATTTCATTTTGAAGTCATTGAATTCTTCAGCTTTTTTTCTGGCCTCTAATTCATATTGAATCTTCATGTCTTCCATTTCTTTCTTATATTTTTCTTCCAGATGTTGTCTTTCTTTCTCCTCCTGTTGTCTTCTCATTTGATCTTCTTTTCTTTTCATGTCATATTTTTCTTTCTCCTGTTCTAGTTCCTCTTCAAGCTTTTTCAGCCTCATTTGTTCCTCTCTACGTCTCTCTTCATCTTCTTTATATCTCTTATCCCACCACTCTTTCCGTTCTCTCTCCCAGTCTTCTCGTTTTGCTTCCATCTCTTTTCTGCTTTGTTCCAGTTTTCTGTCAATTTCTTCCTTTTCTTCTGATCTGATTTTTTTCTCCAAAGCTTCTCGTTCTTTTTCCCACTTCTGTTTCTGTTGTTCTTCCTCCTCTTTTCTTCTCTTCTCTTCTTGTTCTCTGGTTTCTTGTTCTTTCTTTCTTTGCTCACGCTCCCTGTTGATGTTTTCCTCCATTTCTTTCAGTTGTTCAGCTTTCAGTTTTCTTTCCTTTTCAATTTCTGCTCTCTGTTCTTCCATTTTTCTCTTCATTTCTGTTTTTTCTTCCGTATGTTTTTGTTCCATCTCCTGAATCTGCCTTTTCATCTCTTCTTCCTTCTCCTTCAGGAGTCTCTTCATCTCTTTCTGTATCGCTGCTTCAGCTTCTTGCAGCATCTCGTTGGTAAAGAAACTTCCTCCATTTTCTTTCACCATGGTGTCGATTTTTTGGATCAGCTCTCTGACCTGAGTGTTATTCTGTTTGTCATAATTGTTAAACACATGGTATCTTCCTCCACAGTCAGCAATCAGCTTCTTAAATGATTCATCACAATCTTTAATGTATTCTTCAATGGACTTCCCTTCACGTTCCAGTGTATCTCCTTTCGTGAACAGAATGATGGTGAACTTTTCAGAGTTTTTACCAAAAACGCTCTTGATGAGTTTTAAAGTCTCCTTCTCCTCTGGAGTGAGTCGGCCGATTGATAACACCAGCAGGAACACATGAGGTCCTGGAGCCAGAAGGCTGAT